ATCACAGGAGACAAAGATCAATGTACTAAACCGTACTTTGCGACCCATTGCCCTAATGGCTGTGAAATATGGGCTGACTACCTCTTCCACTTGCATCGGAAAAATTCTCCGCATTGAGTAGCAAGATAAGATTCCTAACACAGGTATTCCCTTGTGCTGAACAACCCAGCAGCCACATGTGTCTGATTCGGTGTCAGCTGCACTGGACAGGTCACGTAGTCCGCATACCAGACTACAGGCTCCCCAAAAGCTGATATGCAGCGAGCTTCAGTACGATAAATGCTTTGAGGAGGCCTTAGCATTAACTATAACATTTGGTAGCAGACAGTATTAAATAGTGCAGCAGTCCTCAAGGGCTTCAAGATATGTGATTCCAACAGAATGACTGCAAGAGAGCCAAAAAGAATAATTCTTAAAGATCACTCAGTGTCGCCTGCATTCAATATCCTACATTGTGCTTGGTCTGGACTAACTAATCAGTTGCTCACACACACAGGCGTGCACACACATACAACGACGCTTAAGGAACGTTTATGTAGACCAAATAATGGATATGAACACAGACGGTGGATAATAGTCTCAGTAGTGGCGACAGTGATGTGTGTAACAAACAGTGTTCCGTGTGCCCCTCCATCCGTAGCTAGCAACATCGTCTCGAAAATGCATAGTCAATGGTGGTAGGTGGTGACTATTGAGCATTGAATTCCATCCAAATCCCTGTTGTAGTTTTCCTGGATTCATTTCAGAATTTTCTTTGTCTATGTAGTTGGAATGTATATGTGTATGCATGCATACACACGCACGCTCGCACACACACACACACACACACACATATCCGGAATCTTCCGGTTGGCACACTTCAATGGTCTTTTGATTTGCTTGTTTAACGGCACATCAACTCCTTATGGGTCATTTAATGACGACAAAAACAAAATAGGATATACGTTATTCTGTTTTCACAATTGAATACATGGTAGATGATACTCGGCCTTTGTGCATATACATGTTCATGTGGACATAAATACTAGAGGCGGTGATATGTGTGTTTTAAGCTGTAGCTTTGTTGAAGTTATATTTTCGTATACAGTTTGATTTCTTTAAGAAATTATAATATGTTATATTGATTAATATCATGAAAGAGTCTTTTCATATTGGTTGTTTGGTCGATTTTGCTAAGTGGCATATCAACCTCTATGGGTTCTTTAATGTTGAAATCTAAATATTTTGAACGCAATTGCATGCCTTTAGCTACAGATAAAATGTATTTGGGGCCATTTTCTATGAAATGTATTGTTGGTAATTCTATTATAGAATGTACTGTTAGTCATTTTACTATAAATATGTATTTTTATACTTTCATTGTGTTCTGTTTTTGTTTTGGGGTTGACTGTACGGCCATAGCTGGGACGATAACAGCTGCTATCACCCAATGTCATGGTGGATCTGAGAACAACAACAATTAAGAGATGCTCCTCAAAGGCCCTCATAGGGAGATCAGAGTAGAGGTTTATCCCTTGTTCCCTGTTTAGGACCTGGTTTTCGGTTCCTTCTAAATCTTTTCATTCTCATTCACTCACAGTAGGCCATTGCGTCTTAGTAACATTATCGCCTTGCTTGGGTGAATTGGTATATATATATATATACATATATATGTGTGTGTGTGTGTGCGCTCACCATGACACGATATGTAACAAAATTGTTTTGCATCCTAATTTACTGGAGTAGCGGACTTTTATGACCTTATGTCAAACTAAACTGGGCTGAGTAAATATCTATATAAGCAGTGCGTATTGTCTCTTAATATAAATAGGTGCATTTATAAAAATACAGGGTGTCCATAAAGTCTCTTTACAATTTAAAAAATATATTATAAAGGCAATTATCTTGGCACCAAATCTAGATGACCAAACAATCATTTTCCAGCAAAAGAGACTGTATGTCCGTGGGTTCCTATATCAAACATTTTCTGACCGGTGAACTGGAAGGGATGGTCCAATTCCGTGGCCACCTCGTTCACTTGATATCACTCTGCCGGACATTCTTTCTATGGGGTTATGTTAAAGATATTGGGTATCGAACAAAGATATGGGACAGCACTGACCTAAAGCAAACGATCATTGATGTCATTGCCGCCATTTATGAGGGTATGGTACAGTGAACATGTCAAGAAATCGAATGCTGTCCTGATGTGCTTCATGCAACTAATGGTTACCCTGCAGTGATATATTAAATTAGTTTAAAACTTCAATATCTACTCGTCATTTTGTAGAAATTTCCACGTATCTGTCTATTCATTTGCTTTTATAGTGAATGTAATGAATTCGACTGAAATTCTAACATGGCTCTCCGATTCCTCAATCAATGCCGCTAACCTTCGGCACTGAGTTTTATCTTTATTTTTACCACAAGCTACTTTTCTTTTGTAAACGTTAATAACGAGTCACTCTTCCCAACACCTGATGCCAGCAGACATCCTAGCCAAACAAAACCTCCAAAAAGTACACTATTTACTTTTTATCAATAGTTCTAGATATCATCAATTCTTTTTGTTTGTTTGTATTCTTTTCCCTGCAAAAACGGTAACCAATATACCGTGTCTTATTTTCTAATTAAAAATTGCGTCATCCATGAGTCTATAAAAGCAACCGAAGACAAAGCCGACAATAACCTTTTCTGCTAATCAATATTAGAAATACATCCAATTGTATTTATTAATGACTTTATTCATCTCTTAGTTATAACGTTCGGCTCTTTTTGGTAGGCGTGAGCGTCAAAATAGTCTTAATTATAGTTTTAATTTGGGCGTGTATAATAATGGTCCGAATAGAATAGAGGCTGGTATTCAAGCTCATCTAAAAGCCAATTGTTTGAATGTTGATTTTTAACGCAAGCTCTCATAATTTCAAAGACTTACACAATGCATACTTCCTTTCCCAGTAAGATTCTGCGCCTGACTGGGCTAAGCTTAATAAATGTCTTTCTTTCTCTCTCTCTCTCTCTCTCTCTATATATATATATATATATGTGTGTGTGTGTGTGTGTGTGTGTGTGTGTGTGTGTGTGTGTGTGTATACAGGTATATATATATATATATATATAAATAATTGTATGTATGTGTGTGTGCGCGTATATGTATGCACAGATATATATGAGCGGTCATGTATATATGTTCATGTGTGTACAAGTATACATACAAAGGATGTGTATGTATGTACACGTAAATACATAAAAACAGTTTAGTTTCGGTGGACTGATTTAAAATCCAACAGATACCAAACGGCTCTAATATATATATATATATATATATATATATATATATATAGTAAGAGAGAGAGAAAGAGTGAGAGAGATATAAAACAAACAGGCAGGCAGATCATACTTGAGTTTGAATATGGGATTTGATAAAGTAATTACATTTGATTTATGCTCCCCACTTATCCTCAGAGATCCCAACACATTTTTTTTTTATACAGTTTTGTCTTTTTTTCATTCTAACCTGAGGAAGCAAAAGTAAGAACATACGCTCTCGGCGAAATGCATTGTTTATAGATTTCCACTTTGTCTCATCAGCTTCATATTCATATATATATGAAGAAAAATATACGGAAAAAAACAAACAAAAATCCTAATATGCAATTATGCTGTTTTAATGTTAATATAATGTCAACGTCAGACGTTTCGGTCTAGTAGACCATCTTCAGGACAAATTCATAAAACATAATTAATATTAGACTATATATAATTCAACATGAAAAGACGATGGACATAAGAGTAAGACTAATCAAAACAGACAACTGAAATTTTTCAAGATCAGCGTTCCGTTTCAATAAACCCAATACAAGGCTCGATAGCAACTTAAATTAGAGGGTTACTGTTACAATATTTACAATGAATGAAGTCTTTGATATAAATAAAGAAGAGTTGGTAGAAAATGAAGATTATGAGGATAAGGTGGATAGATAACGATTGACTCTTGAGTTGAAGATGTTAAGATTGTTTGTTCAGAGAAGCATCCAGGCGAGAGTCTATTTCAGAGAGTAGCATTTCTTAGGAAAAAGTTAACTGGAACTTTCTTCTTATATTTGTAATACGGAGGGAACGCGGGTGATTCGACTCCGTGGAAGTAGTATGACGTGTCTTAGCTGTAAAAGGTCTGAATTGATGGAAACATAGAATGGGACGCATCTTGGACATTTACCATGGAAATAGCGACAGGCTTACAATTTTGAGTCTGTGGTAAGAATGCTGTAGACTGAATAATAATTCTTTTATTCAAAAAGACCACGTAAAGGATTTTGAACTTTATCAATGCTGGTAAGTGCGACGTGGGAGGCTCTAGAACACATATAGCAGCAATACGCCATTTTTCTACGATTAGTCTGCTTGGGAAATAAATGTCCTTTCCGATTTTTTCTTGGTGATCAAATATGAAACACGAGGTAAAAGGTAATAATTCGAGTAATGATTTCTAAAATATTGCTTACAGGCTTTTTATTTTTATTCTCACACAGTACAATGTTCATCCCCCACTCCCCACACTTTCGACTTTGGCTAGACAATCTCAAGCTTTGTAAATATCACGAGATTTATTGAACGAGATGTCAGTTGGCAAAATTTGGCAAATGGACACTTCTTGTTATCTAGTTGTTGGTCGAGTAGAATGAATAGGTGTACATTTGAAACATTTTAAGAGTTCCCATGAATAAAGAAAGAACTTACAACTTGTTTACTAGATTGTGGTTAATTCTACATGCATCGATATAGCGATTTTCCAAGTGTAGCTTAGATGTGGCACAAGGCCGAAAGTATGGGGCACCCAGTGAGGATATAACTCACCACTCATTGCTAATTGTTTTAGCGAGACAAGTTTGCTAACCATTACACAGCCTCAGGGTGCTCAACAGGCATCGATATATGTAGAAAATATTACCTGTATTCATTTGAGAGCCCGCCCATTAGCGCTCACCGAGTAAAAAGAACTAATTTTAAATATTCGGGGCTTACGGCCACATCCGGCCGAAACACCGGCTCCCATACGATCACCGAAGTTAAGCAACGTCGAGCCTGGCCGGTACCTAGATGGGTGAAAGCTTGGGAATACCATATACTGTAAGCACGGATGTGTAGGTGGGTAGTGGCTTGGAATTGTTAATCGGAAAACCGAGCACTAATTTCAGTTGGGTTTGTTATATTCTCTTACGCGCAAATACCGCCGGGAAAAGGTAAGAATCCACTTCTTCTACCCTCAGCTATGGGTTAATTAGTAAGATTTGTATCTTGAAATCATTATTATCTCCCAAGAAATTCTTATAATCTAAATATATATTCTGGCTTTAAATAACCCACAGTGTTGATAGGCCGTAGAAAACGAATCAATCAGTTGAATAGTTTCGAATATTAACACACAAGTAACTGCACAATAAGAGTTAAAAGTTAATATAGACATTGGTTGAACTAACGGATTATAATATTTGTACTTAATTTACTGTATAACTACTCGTTAAATGACTACTAAATTTCGATTTGTACAACGATTTGTCATAAATGAGAATGAAACTTATTACTGCGATATGAGCTTACTAATTACTGATCGGTAGTGTATTTTGTCCTGTGTTTATGGCCTATAATACTCGGACTTCATCCCCTACAGAGGTGTAAGACTCCTCCCTACAAAAGCAGCCACCCATCCTATAAATGCTTATAATCTCAAACAATAAAAGATTTCCTGAAGTAACTGCAATGCGAAATGGCTGCCGGTATCAGAATTAACGTCAGTATATCATGTGTATAAGATAGAACCATCACCATCAGAAGAGTTTCGATTCAAGGTACACTGTAGATAAATGTAATTTCTCGTTTAACATGGCTGATCATTTTCGAGCATGTCTGTCTCCCATTTATGCTTGTTCAATATCCACAGGGTCAACCTATTGTTTACACTGCAACTATATTGAGCGGACATTAGTTCCGTATAAATATTGTTCTACCAGGGCCATATAAGTATGTGCTTCACCAGCACCATATACGGTTTTGAATTCAGAGATGCCCTTCTATACTGGTTGCCAATCACGACTAGAGAATCCAGCCTACATTGTTATTTAATCCCTAGGAGGAGAAGAGATTGATTTATACCTTTCCCAATATTTGTATAAAAAGTAATGTAACGATCTCAACCGGAATTCGAACACGGTTTGCTGGTTTCTGGTTATGAGCCTCCGACCATTGCAATACCTGCACATCCAAAACAGGCGTAACGGTTTCAAATTCGGTTTAGCACTGAGGAGGTATAATAATAACATTTGGCTGACGGCTTCAATATTTATATATCTCTGAACCAAGTAAATACTTATAAACTCAAAGTAACCAATATTTATCTATACCGGAAGCAAGTAAATGCTTACATATTTAAATATTTTTTTTTAAATGGATGTGCAATATAGCAACAACTGTAAGTGAAGCTTATAAAGTTTTGACTAATTCAGATTTAGAGCTGAAAACGTTTATTCTATTTTAGTGGATGGGTACACGCGAAAAGGGCGATGGGATGTGCTTATTTTATTACCACAGGCTGATTTCAGCATTAAATAACCCAATAAGGGTTGATATATTGTAAAATCAATTAGCCCAAAACCTCTCTTCCCACTTTATCTTTTATTTTCCATCCCGTCCTATATTTTACTTTTTCAGGATGTAGGTGATCATGGCTCTCCAGAGATGTAGCACTTTCAATTGGATGAACATATTTGATTTCTAGTGGTGTTTTTCAAGAAAGAAACCATATTGGATGTTCTCTATATTTCTTAAATTTTAAAACATCTGCCATCTTGGTTTCAGTCACTTTCTCATCGCCTTAACATAGCTTCCCTGTGTCTTTCTTTAATGAAAGAAATGGCCGCCTAATGCCCGAAATCTTCTGCCTAGTCGGTCATAAATCGAAAGAGACATGATCGTGTATCACGAAGCACTTGACTTAATGTTACACTTAAATAATAAAACTTTGTTATTTTTTAGAAGACGGTATACATCAATAAGTTAGACTTAACTAAATGAAAAGTTCAGAAATAGCCAATAGGAAAAGTTTTAAAAAATTTAAATGTCTACAGTTTCATTGGCAACCTTAATGCAATATGATCGCTGATAAGGAAAGTATTATGTAAATCTACATTTTATGAGTAATCAAACGTCAACTAAAACACCGAAAATATGTTGAGGTATTCTGGACGACGACGGTGGCGGCAAAAAGCTGACTAAATATTCAGCATGAGAAATCTTCGGTATAAACTTGTTGTCAGAATGCCAAAAATCTTTTCACTGATTCAAGTTGGTTTTATTATTCCAACGTCATCCGCGCTCCCATCTCATGAATTTTTTTTTTTTTTTTTGCTTCCACTCTTCCAGCTGAAATCTTTATGCAACGATGCTCTCACGATTCTGCCCTGTCGGCAAGAAGAGGTTTTAGTCAAGAACGTTAATTAAGAAAAGGTGTGCAGTAGAAAATAAAAATTGTATTCGTTTCAGTATTTTTGTGTTTTTATTATAATATTCGTATTTCTTAAGATTTGCCTTCTTTTTTAAATTTATTTAGTCGTTTGATTACTTTTTTGTAATTTTAATACTATTTTTATATATTATCACCATCGATAGTTATTACGTTCATTTCTTATGATATTTTAGGGAACATTCCCCTCTTAATATTTGTGACATAATTATTAGGTTGACCACAAAGTCCCAACTTACTTTGGAAACGGGAGGAAAACAACAAAATTTTATGGAACAACATTTATTCTTAAAAATAAAGTCTATCATTCTTCTGTCAGCGATCAGCCAGCATTCGAATCGGTCCAAGATGCTAGTCCGCTGTAAACAAGTTACTTTCACTTAAAAATGTCGCGGAGGAAGTGTGCCACTGAGCGGAAGAGGCCATATATCACTCGGAGCAGCATCAGGACTGAATGGTGGATGTGGAAGCATCTCATCGCCGTCCATCTCTTTAAACTTCTCCTTTGTCTACTAGGCAGTGTGTGGCCTTGCATTGTCTTGCTGAAACAAAGCCTGACCTCGATTAACCAATGCAGGATATTCCTTCTTTAGTTTGTCGTACACGCAGTTTATCTGCTGGTAATATGGTTTAGTATTGATGGTGTGATGTGTGGAACAAGCTTGAAATGCAGCACTCTTTGGAAATTCCGCCAGGCAGAGAGCAAGATTTGTTGTTTTCGTTCCGATTTCTAACTGAGTCGGGACTTTCTGGCCAACTTAGTATTATAATACAGGAATAAATAAGGTTATGTAACTGAACAACGAAAATATATAAAGTGTATAAAGTGCACAGAAGTGAATGTAACCATTCTGAATCGTTATCCTACACACTGTATATCCTACTGGGTTCCATGACACAACCAAAATTGTTATAATACGGGACTAAACATTTGGTGACAAAATATGAATATATAGCCATCCCAAAATTAATACACTTCGATGAAAAGGTTTTCTAAAAAATAAATATTTGGTGTGGCTACCTTTATTTTCCATTAATGCTTGTAGTCTTGACAGTTAATAGAATAGTTTTCTACTTCCAAAGTACGCATTCTTCCAAATCTATTAAGTTGGAAGGTCGTCGTTCTTTTACTTTTCGTTTCATTATGTTTCAGAAGTATTGATTTGATTTTAATCGTGTGATATAATTAGCCAATGAATTTTTATGTTTTGCTTCTTCGGAAACTCTGCTGTTAGCGGAATATATAAGATCGTTGTCACGCTGTGTTATGGGGTCTTACCCATAATAATAATAATGGACTATTCCATACTTAATAAATACTGCGACTCAGTCAGTAGTCGAGAGTCAGTCGTTCACCTCTGAACTGACTGTTCGGTTCAACTCTCTTCCTACGGGCGAGAGGAACCCGAAGGAGGCTACGCCGAAGGGCGGAGTCTCCTTCGGGAGGTTAAACCGGCCCAGAACCCGTTTATACGGGTTCAAATGGGCTGACCCACGGCCGAGCCTAATGGCTCGGGAATGCCCACGTTAAAAAGGCCTTGTGCCACATGACACCCTCGTGGGGGTGACTGAATATTGTCAGTCGTTCACCTCTGAACTGACTGTTCGGTTCAACTCTCTTCCTACGGGCGAGAGGAACCCGAAGGAGGCTACGCCGAAGGGCGGAGTCTCCTTCAGGGAGGTAAAATGACCCCTGAACCCGTTTATACGGGTTCAAATGGGCTATTTTGGCCGAGTCTAATGGCTCGGGAATGCCCACGTTAAAAACTGAATATTGTCAGTCGTTCACCTCTGAACTGTGCACGGTTCAACTCTCTTCCTACGGGCGAGAGGTTCAAAGGGTGGAGTCTCCTTCGGGAGGTTAAACCGGCCCTGAACCCGTTTATACGGGTTCAAATTTTTGGCCGAGCCTAATGGCTCGGGAATGCCCACGTTAAAAAGGCCTTGTGCCACATGACACCCTCGTGGGGGGGTGACTGAATATTGTCAGTCGTTCACTTTTTGAACTGACTGTTCGGTTCAACTCTCTTCCTACGGGCGAGAGGAACCCGAAGGAGGCTACGCCGAAGGGCGGAGTCTCCTTCGGGGGAGGTAAATTGGCCCAGAACCCGTTTATACGGGTTCAAATGAATGATTTTTGGCCGAGCCTAATGGCTCGAATTCCCACGTTAAAAAGGCCTTGTGCCACATGACACCCTCGTGGGGGGTGACTGAATATTGTCAGTCGTTCACTTTTGAACCGACTGCACGGTTAAACTCTCTTCCTACGGGCGAGAGGAACCCGAAGAGGCTACGCCGAAGGGCGGAGTCTCCTTCGGGAGAATCGCTCCGGCCCAGAACCCGTTTATACGGGTTCAAATGGGTTTTTTTGGCCGAGCCTAATGGCTCGGGAATTCCCGTTAAAAAGGCCTTGTGCCACATGACACCCTCGTGGGGGTGACTGAATATTGTCAGTCGTTCACTTTTGAACCGACTGCACGGTTAAACTCTTTACGGGCGAGAGGAAATGGCTACGCTGAAGGGCGGAGTCTCCTTCGGGGAGGTTAAACTCGGCCCAGAACCCGTTTATACGGGGCCGAGCCGAGCCTAATGGCTCGGGAATGCCCACGTTAAAA